TGTTTAATGGTACATAGCAAATATCTACATTTTTAGGCCAATAAAAAATATTTTCTTTAAATTTCTTCAGACAGTTAACTTTTAAATCATCATTTTTATCATCTCTTTCTATAATGTTTCCTAAATACCATTTCTTATTATAGACCAAAGCTACAAATCGACCCGGCTCATAATCATCATTGGTGTCTTCACTTTCATTTTTATTAAAATTGTATCCAAATAAATCTGAAGACAAACGTTTCATCAAAAGTTGATCATTTTTGTCTGGAATAAATGAGTGATGACTTCGACAACCCTTTATTTTATCTGCTGACCTAAATCTTTTTCAAGCATTCCTAGCAGATCTTTAATTTCTTTTTTGTCTACCCAAAAAAATTTAATACCATTTATTTTCGCATCAGCGTATGTGTAAAAATCTCTGGCGTTCAATATCTGATCTTTTGTTGATGCCTGCAAACTTGCTCTTGCAACCAATCTTTTTGTTGTCCCTCCAATTCCATCGCAAGGACTTTTACCATGAAAAGTTGCAAAAAAGTGCCATTCTGCTTTTAATCCAAAATCCTCTTTGTGATGAGTTAAATTAGAAAAATTTTTGTATTGACTTACCGCACCATCATACCGAAAAATATTTAATTAAAGTAACGTTTTTCAGGTTTTGTTTTACATAGTTAATTAAATGTTTTTGAAAAGCATAAACAGCGGAAACATTGTGATCGAGACAGTCGCTAATCATGCAAACGCTTTTGACAGATAAGTTTTCATAAATAAATAAATAAGTTTTCTGTAATAAAGAACAATTGGGTGAAGAGTAACTTGCGTGTTGCTCCAATGTTGACTCTGGATTGCATCCTGTATTATCACCAAATAATTTTCAGCAAAATCCATTAAAGCAATACACTCCGAACTTTTTAAATTTTTTTAGAATCGCTAAGATATTTCAATTGTTCTTTGCTTATGTAATGATGCGATGACAACTCGTCAAGTTTTTGCGAAAATCTTTCAATGAAACTGTCAACTGTATCCTGTACTGAAATCAATGAACTGCGATTATCATCATGGTAAATTACAGCTTCTTCGAAAATCGCTCTTAAGTTATTTTCGACACTCAGTTTTCCTGGGCATTCCTCACATCTGTGTAACATACATTCTAAATTTTAAATTGAAAAAAATAAAAAATATTGACACTTGAAAAAAATTTGTTTTGCCTGTTTTTGAAGTTGTTTTATTTTTCAAAGAAAGCAAACGCCAATTTTATTTTTTGATGTGTTGTTAGGCGCCAAACAAAAGAAATTTTTCATTTTTTTGACATTTTGAGCTCCGATAGCTCAAAAAGTTCAATACAGATTTTAACGAAATTTTGTGATTTATTTGTGACTATAAGGTACTTCTAAAATAACAAAAAATATTTATTTATTTTGCGATAGATTTTGAGCTACGCTGTTTTGAAATCGGTGAAATTTTCAAAAAATTCATTTTTTTCTAGGTTTTTGGTCAAAATATCCTTTGATTCGAGACAATAACATTTATTTTTTTGTTATTACATTGTTTCACTGATATGCACAAAAAATTTCATCAAGATATGTTGGCTAGTTCAAGAGATATAGCGTTCTAAGTAGGTACAAGTTTTGAAAAAAATCGCTCAAAAATTTGAGGATGCTGTCACAAAAATCTTCATAACTTGAAAAATAATTGAAATTTTTTTATAAAAATTTTATTTTGTCGATGAAATACATTGAGGTACTTACTGTTCAAATTTTAAAAAAATCGGAGATGGTCGGGCGTGGACCATGGTTCAAGTTGACAGAGAATGACAGAGAGAGTTTTGGGAATTTTCGCGAGAAAATATTGACAACAACAATAGATACATACATACACACACACACACACATACATACATCATACATATATACACACACACACACACATACATACATACATACATTTCAATATTTTATTTATTCATCAATTCAAATCAAACAATTGTAAGAAATGAAAAAATACATACATATATAAAATACATACATACATACACACACATACATACATATACACCCACATGCATTAATGCCCATATGTGCTTGATTTTGATTGGACAGAAACAAAAACATTCGATATGATGAGAAATCATACTTATATATATATACTCACAGTTGTCTTAAATATATATGTATATATATATATATATATATATACTCATATATACATACAAAGCACGCACATTCACACACACACACACTCATTGTGAATAATGGAAAACTAGTTTTTAAAACACATAAATAAATACACACGCCTAAAAAACACACGTATATATACACCTATAAATATACATATACATAGATGCATACATACAAAACATACACACAAAAAAACACACTCACACATATAAAATGTGTATTGCGCATATTGTATGTGTACAAATATATACAATGTACCATGTAGTACGTTATCAGGAAACAAAGAAGATTAACCATCAAGACTGTGTATGTATTGTATGTATATTCGTATGCACTTTATACACATATGCCCTATATATTCATATATATCTTTGCACACAGTCGCATCTTACATATGCATACACACACATAATGATATATTTGTATGTAATTATATATATATATATATATACACACATATATAAGTCTCATTCATTGTTCTTTGCATGTTTGGTCACACATATGTGTGTATTAAGTAAAGCTACTATATATAGATATATCCATTTGTTTATACTTGTATAAATATATATAATATATATATATATATACCACGTGTTTTTCACATATTCTCATGCAGCTTGTATTATACCGGGGTATTAAGTACAGTGGTATTGTCGAAAATTGCATTTATTTTTCGTTGTTTTGACTTCTAAATGCATAGATACTAAACTTGTTGGAGTTGCAGCAACGA